TGCAATGGGGGGGACCTGGGTTTGATCCCTGGGTTGGGAAGATCCCTGGAGAAGGGAAAGGCTACCCATTCCAGTATTCTGGCCTGGAGAATTCCATGGACTGCATACTCCATGGGGTTGCAAAGAGTCTGACATGACTGAGCTTCTTTCACTTCACTTCATTTCTGACATTGAGTCATTCATTTGTTCATTCATTCCTCCCTCATTCATTCAATAAACACCTGTTTCTACCCAGGCCACACTCTGCATTGGAAGAGGCCAAGCCCCAGCCCTCCAGAAGTTTCTGTCCCCTCAGTTCACAGGAGCTGCTGCTTTTTTAATGAAGAAACTCTCATAAACTAATTCCTGATGAGGTGTTAATTACTGATAAGCACTTAATGTGTGAGGCTTCTTAGGATTTTTGCATTTTAACAGGAGCCATTTCTTAACTGAAAGAAATGAATTTCTAATGGTGCTAGCTCCAGGGTGCTAAAAGTAAAATTTCAGGGGGAATGAGGGTGCTTCTAGCTGATCCCAAAGGCATTTCTAGTGCTCTCTATGTCCACATTTAAGACTGGATTTTTAAAACACAGAAACATCTTCATACAGATACTGTTCATTCTTTTGCTCTCATAAATTGAACCCAGGTTTTAAGCTACAAAGATGTGTGGTCACAGTCTTAGGTGAGGGTGTGGCCAGACATGGTTATAATCAATGAACTGTGAAGCGTTTTCATAGACATTATAATCTGCGTACGTACAGCATACTAGAAAGATACAAAAAGAGGAGGATAAAGCAGAGGATGCATTTCGGAGAAGGAAGGGCGGCGGTGATGGGTGCCCATGTGCTGAGACCCAGGGCTTCCCTGTGGTCATGCTGCGTGGCTCTGGCTGAGGCAGGGTTCATAGGAGAGGGTGGGTGGGGCGGGTCTTTGCTGCTGTTGGTCAATCACTGAGTCCTGCCTGACTCTGCAGCCCCATGGACTGCAGCACACCAGGCTCCCCTGCCCTCCAATACCTCCCAGAGTTTGCTCATATTCATGTCCACTGAGTTGGTGATGTTATCTAACCAACTCATCTCCTGGTGCCCATTTTAAAGACCGGGAAACTTACATGGGTCAGTAGTGGAAGGGCATGTGGGCCCCGGTGAGCCTTGGGAGTTGCAGGCAGAGTCTCTCCAAGAAGAGCCTGGGCCTCAGAGCCCCCAGGCCCCTCTGCTGGCACCCTGGGCCACTCCTGACCTCAGCCCCCGAGGTGGGCCAGGCTTCTCCCATCACCTGCTCCCGGGTGAGGACGGCGTCCCACCTGCCAGGCAGGGAAACGGCCCCGGGGGAGTGTCCCACTGTGGCAGCTGGGGCCCAGCATGGGATTCAGACTCGGATGGATGGAGTGAAGTGTCTGTTTTGGGGGGACTAGAGCACAGAACTGTGGAGGATGCAGAGGAGAGAGGTGGGGAGAGCTGCAGGGGCCATGACAAAGTGACTAAAGAGACAAGATGTGACACAGTCCACACGTGGGCTCAGCCGTGCTCCTCTCTTCCTCAGGACTCCAACGTGATCCAAACCCAGTGCCCGTCTGGGTCCTGCCCCAAGGCGGGGAGACCATGCATCTATCAGGACCCTTGGATGGCTGGTCCGTATGCATTTATTCATAACATCCAGTAATAATGTCGATCATTTATTTATATATATCCTGCATCTCAGTTTATTTAAATCTTATTTAGTGCCTGATTTATCTTATTTAGGTCCTGGATCCAAGGTTATTTAAGAGGAGAGTTGGGTATCACCCCAAAGCTTCCTGATTGTCACTGTTCTGCTCATGTACAGGGACATTTGGGTGATCCTAAGTTCCTTCTTAGAGGTGGCTTCCACAGGTGCATGGAGGGAGCTCAAGCAGGAGCATGCTCAGTTGTGAAACTCCTTTATTACCCAAGACACAGCATTTCTCATTATGAGGTAAGGAAGACTGGATGACCTTAAGTAGAACAAAATAACAGCGAATTAGCTGAGTTCAAAGGGAAAGTGTGGCCTGCTGGGCCATTTGTTGCAGAGCTGAAATCACCTGTGTTTCGGGAGACACTGAGCCACCCGAGGGTCTGGGCCCCGGGGGGATGCTGAGCCACCCAAGGGTCTGGGGCCCCGGGGAATGCTGAGCTGTGGGCGGGCCTGGGGGCCCAGGGCTCTGCAAGCCTCCTCCCACTGATTCCTAGTAAGGATGGCTCCAGAGTGCAGTGCGCTCCTTCTTGTCTTGTGGAGAACACGCCCCTTGGTCCATGATTCTGGTGCTCTGTTACCCAGCTTCTACTCAGGCAGCATTCTGATGCTCTCCAAACAGAGATTTCAAAGCCCATTGAGGGAGCGAAGGAGAGCAGAGAATTTGCAAGTCTCCTTATCTGTTTTTTTATCAAATCAAATCACACTTGCTCAAGTCAGCAAGTGCATGCCTTTTGAAGAAACAGCATCTTCAACATTTTTGTTTTACTTTTTTTGTAGCTCATGAGGATTTCTTGGTGATGTAACTTGTACTTGATTTCCCTGTGGAGGACCTTCTCTGCTACTGTGGATGCATATGTATGTGTGTGTTTACATGTGTGTGTGCCCAGTGTGTGTGTGTGTGCACAGGGATGTGTGTGCGTGTGTGCCTGTGTGTGCACGGGGATGTGTGTGTGCGTGCTTGTGTGTGCCTGTGTGTGCACAGGGATGTGTGTGTGTGCCTGTGTGTGCGTGCCTGTGTGTGCACAGGGATGTGTGTGTGTGCGCCTGTGTGCCTATGTGTGCACGGGGATGTGTGTGTGTAGGCCTGTGTGCCTGTGTGTGCACAGGGATATGTGTTTGTGCCTGTGTGCCTGTTTGTGCACAGGGATGTGTGTGTGCGTGTGTGCCTGTGTGTGCACAGGGATGCGTGTGTGTGCACCTGTGTGCCTGTGTGTGCACAGGGGTGTGTGTGTGCGTGCGTGTGCACAGGGATGTGTGTGTTTGTGCGTGTCTGCCTGTGTGTTCACGGGGATGTGTGTGTGCACCTGTGTGCCTGTGTGTGCAAAGGGATGTGTGTGTGTGTGCATGTTTGCCTGTGTGTGCACGGGGATGTGTGTGTATGCATATGTGCATGTGTGTGCACAGGAGTGTGTGTGTGTGTGCCTGTGTGTGCACAGGGATGTGTGTGCGTGTGTGTGTGCATGTGTGCCTGTGTGTGGAGTAGCAGTAGAGAACCATGCACTCTGCAGGCCGGTCTAGTCACTGTCAGGACCTGTCCTGCCCCAGCACGGCCGTGGTCCTGGGGGCACAGGGATGTGTGTGTGTGTCTGTGCGTGTGTGTGTGTGTGTGTGTGTAGGAGCAGCAGAGAACCATGCACTCTGTAGGCTGGTCTAGTCTCTGTCTGGATCTGCCCCGCCCCGGCACAGCTGTGGTCCTGGGGGCACAGGACGGGCCCACTGTGCCCTGGGCTCTTACAGGGGCCGCAGCTTGTGGCCAACACCCAATCGGTGGAGGCTCTGATCTCCATTCATGACCTGAGGACGTCAGCACCCATTGGGATGTGATTGGGAGACTTAAAAAGGGAGGACTTGGCTGACGGTGATGGAAGGGTATGGACATCCAGTTATAAGATGGGATGGTCCTGGGGATGCGGTGTCCTGCATGGGGAAAGCGTCATCCATGCCCTGCAACATATATCTGAGAGAGTGGGGACTTCCCTGGTAGCTCAGCAGTAAAGAACATGCCTGTAATACAGGAGAATCAGGTTGGATCCCTGGATCAGGAATATCCCCTGGGGGAGGGTAGCTACCCACTCCAGTAGTCTAGCCTAGACAATCCCACAGACTGAGGGACCCAGCAGTCTACAGTCCCCGGGGTCAGAGTCAGACCGGACTGAGAGGCTAAACCACCATCACCGAGAGAGTAGATCTCAGGAGTTTCTATCACAGGAAACAAAAATTTGTGACAATGTGTAGTGATGGATGTTAACTAAAACCTACTGTGGAGATTGTTTCACATCGGATCCTGATGTTCTGCATTTTAAATGTAGGCAGTGTCACATGGCATTTGTAAGTTCAGTGTCACATGGCAGGCATATGTTCAGTGCCATGTGGCATTCATATGTTCAGTGTCATGTGGCATTTATCTGTTCAGTGTCACGTGACATTCCTATGTTCAGTGTCACGTGGCAGGCATATGTTCAGTGTCACATGGCAGTCATATCTCAATAAAGCTGGGAAAAATTTAAAAGACTGAAGGAGGCGGAGGTTGGAAACAGCCCAGAGACGGCACCCAGGAGCCTTTGGCCCCAGTCTCACCGAGCTGGGGCAGCTTCCACATGTGACAGCAGGGTGCATCGTCACACGGCACTGCTGATCCGTCCCCGGGAGGGTGTGGGTCTGCCTGGGAGCAGGGGGACCAGGCCGGTTGCTGGCTTGGGTTACCGAGGTCTGCCAGCCCCCCAGCTGAGCTCTGCAGGAGCGCCTCTGGAGAGCAGGGGCAGTCTTGCTTACGAGACGTCCCAGATCACTGACAGTCCAATGACTTCCCCCAGAGGTCTGTGCACGTGCCATGGAGGGCCCAACCACCTCCTAAAGAAAGAAGCTGCGACTACTCCTCCACCCAGGGCTCAGGCTTCCACGCCCGGCTTTCACCAGCCCCCACTCTCCTCCTGGGGACTCGGCAGAGTGGGCACTGTGCGGGTTACCCTGGATGTGTCGTCCAGCTCAGCAGCTGGTGTCCCTAGACCGTGACCATTGCACTATCATGAGTGGTTCTAAGAGGCAATCTTAGAGCAGAAGAGAGGGAGCTGGGGGACAGTGGGGAGGCCAGAGGCACCCTGTGACTTCACTCTGGAGAAGAGCATGCAAAGAATTAAGGATAAGGATACAGCTGATGAAAATAACTGTGGTCCTCAAGGGAAGGCCGGAGGGGCGCAGAGCTGGGGCCCCGCCCCGGCTGTGCGAAGGCTCACCCTCCGCATCCCCGGCCCCCCCGGGCACCAGGCGTGTACCCAGCAGCACGTGACTGTGCTCCTCTCTCCCTAAGATGACGCCAGGGCCCGTGTCCAGCCAGCTGGCGCTCCCATCCGCTGGTGGGCCTCCCCCAAGGTGGGGCCGCGCTGCCCTCTTCCTCACCAACGCTGAGCTCTTCAGCGAAGCTGGGCCCAGTGAGGCAGGGCCCTGCCAGAGACCCCGCCCATCTTGATCGGAGTCTCGCCCATGACACAGGCAGGGACCTGGCATGGCACAACCCCTTATCTGCACCCTTGTGCCCCCTCATCATCCCCTCAGGTCAGGTCCAGATGATCCGTGTCAGCTTCACAGGCCACAGCTGGGGCCCTCTGGGGACCTTCTCTGCAGCAGCACTTATACCCAACTGACCGCACATCTCAAGCTGCGTTGTCTGTCAGAATACGTGGTCCTGCCCTTCGTGTGGGCTCAGATGGAGCCTGGAGCCCCAGAGGCCTTGAGCATGGAGAACGTGGACAACCTTTTCACATAAAAAAACTCTTGTGCAACTGCACGAGAAAACACAGTGATCCAATTGGACGAACACTCAGATTACAGGGGAAATGTGTATCTGGCTAAAAACCACCATGAGTCATGGTACAGGACATCAACTAAGAAACTTCATTTCCAAGTGGCGATGTGGACACAGCGTGAGGCCTTGCCCACCGTTCTCCTCAGAAGCCATCTGTGGTTTTGTAACCTGTGTAAACTTGACCTCTGCTGTGCTTATATGCAAGCCAAGGCCACATCAAGGGTATAGTATTTCTGCTCCTATAGGCAACGCCTTGTGCAGTGTTACATTTAATCTAAGAAACTAAAGATGGCTTTTACATAGCCCTCATTCAGAAGTGAGGTTTGGCAAGCAGATAGGATCATGGCCTGCTATCACAGAACAAGAAGTGCACTTAGGCCAATCAATACGGAATATGGAAGTTATGATCATCAGAGATTAGGGCCCAGTGTACCCCAGAGTCTGGGAGAAGGTGGACTTTCCCCTCAGTCATGTCTGGCTTTACCCCAGCCTTGTCCGTTTTAGCATCTCGTGCAGCATCCAGCATAAAAGAACGTGCTGGAACCAGGTGTGTAGATGCACGTTTCTGAAGCCTCTGGAACTAGGGTTTCTTTCATTGAGTCCCTTGCATCTAGACCATCTGTTTCAACTGTCTTGAGATAATGTGACCTTCAGATGGAAATAACCGTGTGTTCACCACGAGCAGCTGGGTTTCTATCCCGATGCAAAGCAGGGAGTTCTTTCTGGCCGCCTGCTTACTTACCTCTGTGAGCATGAAGCAGTGCAGTGTATGCTTCCTCAGCAAATCCTGGTGGTGCCTTAGATGCTCAGATGTATACCACTGATATACGCTTAAAACAGAGTCCATATTCATTCTAGCAATACTGATCATTTTATCAACCAACAAGAGAATGCAGATGATACTTAAAATCTGGCATTAGGTCTACACATACTTATTTCCTTCCCAATGTTTTACATTAAAATGTTTATAATATAGTGATTATTCTTTCCAAATATCTGTCTCCAGCCTCTAGAGATTGTATTTCCTTTCAATGTTCAATGATCAAATGATTCATTTAAAGGGCTTCCCCATTGATGCAGCTATAAACAAACTGCCTGAAATGAAGGAGACCTTGGTTTGATTCCTGGGCCAGGAAGATCCCCAGAGAAGGGATAGGCTACCCACCCCAGTATTCATGGGCTTCCTTAGGGCTCAGACCGTAAAGAATCCACCTGCAAAGTGGGAGACCTGGGTTCGATTCCTTGATTGGGAAGATCCTTTGGAGGAGGAAATGGCAACCCACTCCAGTGTTCTTGTCTGGAGAATCCCATGGATAGAGGAGTCTGGCTGGCAAAGTAAATGATAACCTTGAGTTTGTTCCTCAGGAACCAGATGGTGCTGATCAGTGGGGTCGCATGACTGTGGACTCGAGGGCAGGAAGGTGGATCAGCTGCCTTATTTTTCTGAATTTCCTTCTGTTTCCTCATCAGAAAATCTGAGCGGGCTCATCAGGATGCACATATCCATGCATCCACAGCTGAGTCCTCTGACCCCTCCATGCTCTCTCTCCCCAAGTCCCAGAAGATGATGCTGATGTTGGTGTCGTGGAGACAGATGGTCATCCCCAGCCTTCAGATCAGCTCCAGGGGCCCGACCTGACCCCACCGTTTTGTCCTTCGGGCACTTAGTGGTATTTTAGGTCACTGCCCACAGTGGTACCCAAGTCCCTGGGACAGGAAGTAAGTGTAGGTAATAGACTGAGAGTTAAAACTTACAAGCCACTTGTCATACGGTATTTGTTATGTTGTTTATTCTTATTTCCACACCCAGATGGGGGGGGGCCACTCAGTGCAAGGACTAACTGGGGTGCACAGAACATCAGGAAACATTCCACAAACTGAAATCTAAGTCCTATGTGAATGACATTTCCAGCTTGCAGCTCAGTGTACTTGTCTTTGGGGTTTCCCAGGTGGCTCAGTGGTTAAATAATCTGCCTGCAATGCTGGAGACACGGAAGATGCAGGTTTGATTCCTGGGTCAGGAAGATCCCCTGGAGGAGGGCATGGCAACCCACTTCAGTACTCTTGCCTGGAGAATCCCATGGACAGAGGACCCTGGCGGGCTACAGTCCACGGGGTCACCAAGAGTCAGACATGACTGAAGCAGCTGGGCATGTACACAGGTACTTGTCTTTGTCCCCTAGTCATCTCTGGTAAAATGCCCAGAAAGTGTGAAAGTGTTAGCTGCTCAGTCATGTCTGACTCTTTGTGACACCATGGGCTGTAGCCTGCCAGGCTCCTCTGTCCATGGAACGCTCCAGGAAAAAATACTGGTGTGCCCTACACTTAACTTAATGGGTCTATTTGTTTCTTTTTTGTTTGTTTGTTTTTCATATAAAATTATTTATTTTTTAATACTTTTTATTGGAGTATAGCCAATTAACTAACAATGTTGTGATAGTTTAAGGTGGACAGCAAAGGGACTCAGCCATACATATATTTATTTGTTAATCTGAACAAAAACACACCTTTTGCCCTGAATTTCTAGATTCTGGATTCTCTGGAATATTTATCATAACTTTTTCAGATTGATGATCAGACCTCTTACTTTTTTAAGGAACTTAATCTTACAAAGTGTCTGGAAGTTGACTGGACATATTGAACACAATATGTAGAAGTATAACTAAAATAGTGTGCAAACTCAAGCTTCTTGTGTGTTTCCCAGGGTCCCTTGTGAGTCCTGAGTCTGCTCCCAGCCTTGCTCCCCTGGGGAAGGCCATTGTGTTGTCTCCCTAAGACTACACCATCTCTTACTTTACGCATCTTTGGGAAATAACTGTGCGTGGAGGAAACGTTAGATTTAAGGACCTCAGGTGCTTGTGTGGACACTAGACAGGGCTCTTCTCTGGGGCAGGGACTCAGCCATTCACTCTTCCTCTGAAATGTCCAGAAAATTATTTTCACGTTGTGATGCAGAACGTTCAGTGTAGGTTGTTTGGTGAGGTTGACAGATCCTATTACTCAGCTTTCAGCCTCATCTTAACAAGGAGGGATTCCACTAAAGCAAGCCTGATCAAGCTCTTATGCTGTTTCTAATTAGAATTTAAGTTGCTTTTAATGTCACTTCCAAAGAATCCATGGTGGAGAATTAGTTGCTACCTGTAGAAATAGAATGTCAGGAGTCCGAACCAGGTAGTCTGAACCAAGAGAAATTTTGCCTTAATTTCCAGGGAGTGTTAGCTCTGTGGAAGTTGGGGCCAGAGTGGGTGGAGCTGTAGAAGATCCATGAATGAGGTAGGTGAGCGTCATTGAATAACCTGGTTAAAAATTAAACTAACCAATGTTTCCTGGAGAGAATAATGTGTTTACTTACCCTGATGGCTGCGATTTCACTGGCATCTGCCTTATATAATGTTTTTCTCTTGCTTGCCATCCCCATGCTAATCCGCAAAACTCATGCCCTTTTATCTCTTCTCCTAGTGAAAAATTACTTGCTTAGAAAATAGATGACTTCATTCAGGCTGCTCTGTAGTAGTAGTCTCAGTTAGATATATTTGGGGGGAATGTATTAGGTATAAAACATGAGATCTTCTTTCTTCAATGAGCATCACATGACCACACATCGACGTTTTTTCCTGACAAAGGGGTCAAAATAAATTGAAATATTTTCCCCCTCCCAAAAAAGAGTGGAGTTAAAACTAGGAGTTGCCCAAATCCATAGCCTGAAACTTGCTGTCTACAACTTGGTTGATGAGAAGAGCATAAAACTCTGATATTAGTTTATTAAAATATTAATCTCCTGGAGCATGGGATCATTTGGAAAATTATGCAAATGTTGTGTTGGTAGATAGTACAGTCAGGCAAAGGTGATGGTAACTGAAGTAAAGGTTGATTTGTTTTGTAGGCAGAGTTTTAAACATGAGACATTAGAATCCTGGCTCTGTCAGTGTCACCTTGGGCAAAGGATCAAGACTTTCTTAGCTCCAACATATGCATATCAAACTGGCATTAAAAAGCAGACTTTTGTGAGGATTAGAGATAATTATACAACTTGCCTAGCAAAGTTTTTGGCAGTCAATGGTTATTAATAATTATTTTGCAAGCAATGTATTAACATACACTGAAATTCTGGCATTTTCCGCTATAGTTGCATTTTTTTTAATATAAAAAAGTCATAGCACTAAAGTATGAAAATTAAAATATGTTTTACAAATGCATTGACTTGTTAGTGATTACAAAAATTTAGGTGCAAATAACCCAAGTTAAAATCTGCCCCCTTGACAAAGCATTGCAGTAAGTAGGGAAAACTTGAGGAATCCTAGCTGGGCTCTGAGGAAGTTGAGACATCAAAGACCCGTTTACTGAGATAGGTTCTCAGCTGAAAGTTGAGTCAGTCATTTGTGAGAGGTCCAGGGTCCAGTGCACCATGGTTTTGCTGACGCAGAGCCTGTGCAGGGGCAGCATCCTCTCGTGAGCATCAGTATCCCCACCCAGGGAAGGCGACTTTGGGAAAGCAGGGGTGAAGGACTCAGAGGAGAGGGGTGGCAGGAGGACAGAGCAGGTGGCAGTAGAGACACGTGGAGGGGAAGCAGGTGTGAGATGTCACAGGCCGTTGCCTGGTCATTCCCCGGTCATTCACGGCAAGAGGGTCCACAGACAGTGGAGAATGAGGGTAAGAGACGCAGGCCAGAAAGGCTGCCTTGGGAGCATGATGTGAGGCCAGGATGACCCAGGGAGGGGCGGCAGGACGGGAAAGGCGGCCACAAGGAAGGGTGGCTCCCAGGAGGGTGTTCTGTAACGTCAGAGGCACAGGGTGAAAGCAGGGACCTGCTGCCCAGCGCAGGGCTCTAATCACCGGTGTGGGGAAGCACTCGAGAAAGAACAGATCCAGGTGTACGTGTAACTGGATCCTTCGCTGTATGCCTGAAACCAGCGCAAGGTTGTTAATAAACTATATTCCAATACAAAATACAAGCTTTAAA